GGCTGGATATCGACGGAGAAAGGTTGGAAAACTTTAACCTTCGATATCTCCTAAACGGTTAGAGATACAGGCTTCGGACAGGTACCAAATTAAAGCCCTTTCAAAACCCTACATTTTGGACTACATGGACGACTCTCTACTCCCAGTAGAAGCGGAGATATCGTCGGAGAAAGGTTGGAAAACTTTAATCTTCGATATCTCCTAAACGGTTAGAGATACAGGCTTCGGACAGGTACCAAATTAAAGCCCTTTCAAAACCCTACATTTGGACTACATGGACGACTCTCTACTCCCAGTAGAAGCGGAGATATCGACGGATGAAGGCTGGATATCGACGGAGAAAGGTTGGAAAACTTTAACCTTCGATATCTCCTAAACGGTTAGAGATACAGGCTTCGGACAGGTACCAAATTAAAGCCCTTTCAAAACCCTACATTTTGGACTACATGGACGACTCTCTACTCCCAGTAGAAGCGGAGATATCGACGGATGAAGGCTGGATATCGACGGAGAAAGGTTGGAAAACTTTAACCTTCGATATCTCCTAAACGGTTAGAGATACAGGCTTCGGACAGTACCAAATTAAAGCCCTTTCAAAACCCTACATTTTGGACTACATGTACGACTCTCTACTCCCAGTAGAAGCGGAGATATCGTCGGAGAAAGGTTGGAAAACTTTAAACTTCGATATCTCCTAAACGGTTAGAGAGACAGGCTTCGGACAGGTACCAAATTAAAGCCCTTTCAAAACCCTACATTTTGGACTACATGGACGACTCTCTACTCCCAGTAGAAGCGGAGATATCGACGGATGAAGCTGGATATCGACGGAGAAGGTTGGAAAACTTTAACCTTCGATATCTCCTAAACGGTTAGAGATACAGGCTTCGGACAGGTACCAAATTAAAGCCCTTTCAAAACCCTACATTTTGGACTACATGGACGACTCTCTACTCCCAGTAGAAGCGGAGAATATCGTCGGAGAAAGGTTGGAAAACTTTAAACTTCGATATCTCCTAAACGGTTAGAGATACAGGCTTCGGACAGGTACCAAATTAAAGCCCTTTCAAAACCCTACATTTTGGACTACATGGACGACTCTCTACTCCCAGTAGAAGCGGAGATATCGTCGGAGAAATGTTGGAAAACTTTAAACTTCGATATCTCCTAAACGGTTAGAGATACAGGCTTCGGACAGGTACCAAATTAAAGCCCTTTCAAAACCCTACATTTTGGACTACATGGACGACTCTCTACTCCCAGTAGAAGCGGAGATATGACGGATGAAGGCTGGATATCGACGGAGAAAGGTTGGAAAACTTTAACCTTCGATATCTCCTAAACGGTTAGAGATACAGGCTTCGGACAGGTACCAAATTAAAGCCCTTTCAAAACCCTACATTTGGACTACATGGACGACTCTCTACTCCCAGTAGAAGCGGAGATATCGTCGGAGAAAGGTTGGAAAACTTTAAACTTCGATATCTCCTAAACGGTTAGAGATACAGGCTTCGGACAGGTACCAAATTAAAGCCCTTTCAAACCCTACATTTTGGACTACATGGACGACTCTCTACTCCCAGTAGAAGCGGAGATATCGACGGATGAAGGCTGGATATCGACGGAGAAAGGTTGGAAAACTTTAACCTTCGATATCTCCTAAACGGTTAGAGATACAGGCTTCGGACAGGTACCAAATTAAAGCCCTTTCAAAACCCTACATTTTGGACTACATGGACGACTCTATACTCCCAGTAGAAGCGGAGATATCGTCGGAGAAAGGTTGGAAAACTTTAAACTTCGATATCTCCTAAACGGTTAGAGATACAGGCTTCGGACAGGTACCAAATTAAAGCCCTTTCAAAACCCTACATTTTGGACTACATGGACGACTCTCTACTCCCAGTAGAAGCGGAGATATCGTCGGAGAAAGGTTGGAAAACTTTAAACTTCGATATCTCCTAAACGGTTAGAGATACAGGCTTCGGACAGGTACCAAATTAAAGCCCTTTCAAAACCCTACATTTTGGACTACATGGACGACTCTCTACTCCCAGTAGGCATAGACGAGATGGATATCGACGGAGAAAGGTTGGAAAACTTTAACCTTCGATATCTCCTAAACGGTTAGAGATACAGGCTTCGGACAGGTACCAAATTAAAGCCCTTTCAAAACCCTACATTTTGGACTACATGGACGACTCTCTACTCCCAGTAGAAGCGGAGATATGGTTCCGGAGAAAGTTGGAAAACTTTAAACTTCGATATCTCCTAAACGGTTAGAGATACAGGCCTGGTTCTGGTACCAAATTAAAGTCCTCTCAAAACCCTACATTTTGCCTTAAGTGGCGACTCTCTACTCCTAGTAGAAGCGGAGATATCAACGCAGAAAGGTTAGAAAACTTTAACCTTCGATATCTCCTAAACGGTTAGAGATACAGGCCTGGTTCTGGCACCAAATTAATGTCCTTTCAAAACCCTACATTTTCGACTACATGGACGACTCTCTACTCCCAGTAGAAGCGGAGATATCGACGGAGGAATGCTGGATATCGACGGAGAAATGCTGGAAAACTTTAAACTTCGATATCTCCTAAACGGTTAGAGATACAGGCCTGGTTCTGGCACCAAATTAAAGTCCTCTCAAAACCCTACATTTTGCCGTAAGTGGCGACTCTCTACTCCCAGTAGAAGCGGAGATATCAACGCAGAAAGGTTGGAAAACTTTAACCTTCGATATCTCCTAAACGGTTAGAGATACAGGCCTGGTTCTGGCACCAAATTAAAGTCCTTTCAAAACCCTACATTTTGTACTACATGGACGACTCTCTACTCCCAGTAGAAGCGGAGATATCGACGGAGAAAGGCTGGATATCGACGGAGAAATGCTGGAAAACTTTAAACTTCGATATCTTCTAAACGGTTAGAGATACAGGCCTGGTTCTGGCACCAAATTAAAGTCCTTTCAAAACCCTACATTTTCGACTACATGGACGACTCTCTACTCCCAGTAGAAGCGGAGATATCGACGGAGGAAGGCTGGATATCGACGGAGAAAGCCTGGAAAACTTTAACCTTCGATATCTCCTAAACGGTTAGAGATACAGGCCTGGCTCTGGTACCAAATGAATGTCCTTTCAAAACCCTACATTTTGGACTACATGGACGACTCTCTACTCCCAGTAGAAGCGGAGATATCGACGGAGGAAGGCCGAATATCGACGGAGAAAGGCTGGAAAACTTTAACCTTCGATATCTCCTAAACGGTTAGAGATACAGGCCTGGTTCTGGCACCAAATTAAAGTCCTCTCAAAACCCTACATTTTGCCGTAAATGGCGACTCTCTACTCCCAGTTGAAGCGGAGATATCAACGGAGAAAAGTTGAAAAACTTTAACCTTCGATATCTCCTAAACGGTTAGAGATACAGGCCTCGATCTGGCACCAAAATAAAGTCCTCTCAAAACCCTACATCTTCCCGTAAATGACGACTCTCTACCCCCAGTAGAAACGGAGATATCAACGGAGAAAGCTTGGAAAACTTTAACCTTCGATATCTCCTAAACGGCTAGAGATACAGGCCTATTTCTAGCACTAAAATAAAGTCCTCTCAAAACCCTACATTTTCCCATAAATGACGACTCTCTACTCCCAGTAGAAGCGGAGATATCAACGGAGAAGTGTTGGAGAACTTTATCCTTCGATATCTCCTAAACGGTTAGAGATGTAGGCCTGTTTCTGGCACCAAAATAAAGTCCTCTCAAAACCCTACATTTTCCTGTAAATGACGACTCTCTACTCCCAGTAGAAGCGGATATATCAACGGAGAAAGGTTGAAAAACTTTAACCTTCGATATCTCCTGAACGGCTGGAGATACAGCCCTGTTTCTTGCACCAAAATATAGTCCTCTCAAAACCCTACATTTTCCCGTAAATTACGACTCTCATCTCCCAGTAGAAGCGGAGATATCAACGGTGAAAGGTTGGAAAACTTTAACCTTCGATATCTCCTAAACGAGATACAGGAACACGCTTTTAATTTTAAATTATAAGTGAAATCAAATTTTTTTAGTCACTAATTGCTCATTGAGCGGTTTTCTCCATTGAGCGCAATGATTGTTGACGTACTTATGTCATACCACATATATTTCATTTCTGGCATTTCGTTGTGAGTTAGTGCACAGGCGTGCTCCGCAGGTGGAGCAGTAGCTCTCATTTTTCGCGAGTCGGGATGCGTCCCGAAAGTCATTAAAAAAAAGTGACAAACTTTATGTTCGCGACCGTACACTGAATGCGAGTAAGGCTTGTTCATAGTCCATTGTTTTCATTTAAGAACATCTTAAATAAGTGTTAAAATACTTCTTGACTAGTAGAATGTTTTATATAACATCCGTACGGATTGTTTGTTACTAAGAAGTTTATGAAAATGTATTTGAAACAATTTTAAATATAAGAACGGACTATGAACAATCCTTAATCGCACTCAGTGTGCACCAGTGCAAGCGACTTAATTCGCTCGGACTTATTGCACTAATGCAGCGATGCAGAGGAAAAGAACCTAACCTTCAGGCTGTTCTTTCCTTCCAATATTCACTGTCAGCATTGAAATTCTATAATATATGTGACACAAACTATGTATTTTTAGTACTGGCAGTGAATTTCGGAACGCAGCCTAAAAAGATGGAATTCACTTTCTACAGCTTCTAGTTAGCGACTTTTCCTGCAATAAATTCCCCTATTGGTTATCAGTACTGAAAATAGATAACCCGTTAAAGATATAAAGTTATGCGCGAACTTTGAAAGACTTGTTATAAGTAATTCGTTTCCTTAACAAATATTGTGCTTATAATAATAATTCTTATCATAAAGTTACTGAATTTATTTTTTCATAAAAATAAGGAAATAAACATAAAAAAATACCAACATAGAATAGAAAATTAAAATAATTAGAGAATAATGTGACTACTGTAATTCATCATTTTCAGAAATCTATTTCTCATTTTATACAAAGCCCTGTACTTATTACAATACTCGGCGTTACAAAAATAAAAATATCTTAAAAAATTGAACAATATTTCATAATAATTTATACATAGTAATTTATTGTAGCTCATTACTTTGTAGCTGTTTTTTTTTTTTATTACGCTTTATAAGTCTGTGCAGTACCAGATCCATAAGTACGATCCCATTCAATGTAGATATTCAAGTCTGACTGCGATACACTGGGTCGCACATTGATCAGAGCCTCTTCAAAGTCACTATTTGTAATATGCCTCACCTCTTCCATCCCGATATCTTCCAATTGACTAAACGGAATACTCCTGATCGGCTCCATGCTGGCTTCTTTACATAAATTTGTCATATCAGCGCCAGAATATCCCGCGGATCGTTCCGCGATTCTTGTGACATCCTCTGAGGTGAGATTATGTCGCACCGAGGCCAATAGATTGTTTATTATCTGCTCACGTGCTCCTAGTCCTGGCAGTGGCACGTATAGTCTCTTGACGAGACGTCTTCTCGCTGCCTCATCCAACTCCTGCGGTCGATTGGTCGCGCCGACGATAAGGATACGGTCATCGTCCGACGTCGCCGCACCATCTAGCTGTACGAGAAATTCTGTTTTCAATCTCCGAGAACTTTCATGCTCCGTCTCGGATCTCTGCGTCAGCAGGGAGTCTATTTCATCGATAAAGACGACCGAAGGCTGATGGACTCTAGCTACCGCGAACAATGCACGCACCATCTTCTCACCTTCGCCGATCCATTTGGATGTGAGGGAGCTTGCAGAAATTGAGAAGAACGTAGATTTACTCTGTGAAGCTATACATTTGCCGATGAGAGTTTTACCAGTTCCCGGCGGACCAAAGAGCAAGATACCTTTGGGCGGACGACGTAGACCGGTGAAGATATCCGGCCGTAACATCGGAAATACCACGACTTCCTTGATGATTTTCTTGGTGTATTCCAGTCCCGCGATGTCGTCCCATGTTACCGATTTGTCCGAATCCATGATTTCATTCCTGATCAGTTCGATCATGTTTGGATCGATGTTCTTCAACCTCTCGTCCTCCACTTCCTCTGTACTATTAGCCCCATTCTGTATCCGAGTATTGTGAGTCTCCGACTTTTCTTTGTCTCGTTTGAACGGACAGACAAATTGAGAATTAATCGTAGCTCGACCGCCCAGAGTTTTTTTCGGTGCTCCTCGGTTGTTTTTCATTTCTTGAATATACAATTCATCTCTGGCACTTCTGAAGGCTGAATCGATCGCATTCTGTTGTGCTTCTGCATCTTCACCATTAAGCTGCTGGATAATAGTAGTTGATTTGAATCCTGGTGCATGTATGTTCGATGGTTTGAATTTTTTAGTTGTACCATAGACATCGTTGTTGATTGGTTTAGAAGGTACTTTTTGTACAAACTTGTTTAAATTTTGGTAAGACCGACTGTATGTATTTGACTGTTTAGGTGCATTCTCTTCAGTATAACTTACATGTTTATTAAAACTTTTGCTTCCAGAAATATTTGTGAAATATGCAGATATGTTTTGCTCATTATTAGACTTTACTGAGATTTTATTTCCATTTGTCCTTTGATTAGAAGTCGCTTGTAATTTGCTAGTACTTGCTTGCATCTGTAAAGGGATTTTTCTATTTCTCTCTCGTGATGCATCTTTCTTTTTTTTTGACTCGTTTATTAATTTCTCTATATCCCTATCATTGTAAGATTTTCCTTTACAAGACAAAGTATTGATTTTTTGGCAAGCTAAAGGTTTTATAAAGTTCAATGCATCATCTACATTGTCCAATTCCGATTTCCATTTCAATGGGTCATTTTTGGTATCTGATAGTTGAGATTTAATCTGTTTCCAATAATTGTTCACTCCATCCTTGTCTTTCATCAGAGTGTGATAGTCCTCAAGACTGTTTCTAAGTAATGCTGCTGCAGTATCTTCTGAATCACTGTATAATATTTTATGAATAAATAAAGCGTTACATGATAACTTTAATATTGTACAGAACTATATTTTACTTACAATAATTTCGCTGTCATATACTTCATGGCAAGAGATCTGCGTTCAATATCAGCAACTTCAAAATTATCTTTATCTTGTTTGGAGAATTTTAGTATGTGATATACAGCTAGAAGATTATTCTTTTCCTCCCTCAGGCTTTGTGTAACATGTTGCAAATTTTTATTAGAGCTCATACTTATATCCTAACGACTGTTACTTTTAGATATTTAAAGTATTCACATTAGAAAATAGAGCATTATGTAAGCTCTACCATGTTTATATTTAAGTTTTCTTCCTTCTTTTCTCTGATGATATCCTTTCTGAATATTTAACTCTTACAGAACACAACATCAAAGTTGATAGTTTTATTTGGCTCGGAAATTTCATATATCTGCACGTGACACTTGCTGCTGTTTTGGCACAGAATATCGCGTATCTAGAGAATATACTCCAATCACTGTTGAGCCAACGTAACACGTTCATTTCATTTAGTGTGATTAGCTACTGAGTGACAAGTCCTATGATAATTCAGGGAACATTGTTACCAACCGTCTCAGATACAAGCAGTATGAATTTCACGATTTGCAAGTATTTCAATATTTTGACTATACTTACTTAATAATTACGATTACTTAGTAAATAAGATGATTGAATCCGAATTTTATTATAAAGAATTTTCATCTCTTTCAATCATTGAGATTAGTAGAAAGGATAAAAACTTATCGATATATCGAGCGCTGCAAATCGATATTTCTACGTTGATAAGTTTGAAGTTGGTTTGAATGCGCACAGCTGGCGCCAAGTGCACAGTAGGTGACCGGTGGGCACAGAGCGTGTATAACATAGCAGGCATCTGCAAATTCCGCAATGTATTTCGTAAGTAACATTAGCATTAAATTGGCACTTAAGTCATATTGTCGATCAAATCGTTGCGGGATAATAGATAAAAGACATACACCGAACATCGTGTGTATCGAGCTGGAAAGCTCCGATGCTCACCGATGCACGTTCCCGTCCAATCTCGAAACAATGATAGATGCATAAAGCCGTACAACTCGCGCAGTTCATAACGACTTCTGTAATTCATACACGACGCTGATGAGCGATGCAATTTGTATCGCGCGGGAATGCTCGTCTGCGGCGCGCACCAGTTTCGAAACATCTAATTATTATAACTGTATAAACTTTACAACGTCCATTGTGCCCGTGGCTTGTTTTGCGATGAAGTGTTAACAGAGATAAACCTGTTTCACACTTCGAACGGATTCGGCGTTGTGCGAGACAGTAACATGCCAAAATTGAAATATAAATCCAAGAGCGTTTCATGAAAAAGACGATTTGATTTCTGTCGAAAAGTTCGACCGGATAATATCTCAGTGGATGTTAGGAAAGCGTAGGAAAGAGAGAGATCATACGAAGATCTTAAGAATAATAAAATAAGAAAGAAAGAGATATAAAATCCCCCGAAATGAGAAGAACGAAACAAAACATTTTTCCGTAGATTTGCTGTTTACTTTCAAAGAGAGAGAGAGAGACCCTATTTCTCTTTCGAATTGTTTGATTCATCCACTTTTTGCAGGGTTTAGTGTGACTCCTGAGACTCAATTCATCGTGTGAACATGAGCGGTCACAACCGCTCGCCGCCATGTCGTAGATTGCGATACAAGGACGATCACCGCGGAAACCGCTACGATGGGGTGAGTGTATAGTTCCATTGTTCCATTGGGGTTACATTTGATCGCCACCGCAATCCGCGGTGTTTGCGTTCAGAGACCCTTAGACTATTGAGCTACTGGACACCTACAGGGTGTTCAGTTTCGAAATTCGCGCGCTTAAACTCAGCTAATTTTGGATAAGTTTCCTCCGTGCGTTCTCTCGAAATCACGTAACGTTAGAATCAGGCTCGAGGCAAAATCTATTTCTGATTGAATTAGAAAACGAACTCGCGAAATTAAAACCTGAAGATAATTGGCACATTCCATAACGGCATGTGATTTGAAAGTGCCAGCGACGCAATTGCAAAGAGGAGCACACACACACACATACACACGCGCGCGAAATGACTTTCGTGTAAGATTAAGCGCGTTTCTCCCGGTAAGAGCTTATCGCGCTATGTACAGAGATAATAAGATGCTGCAGTCTCTTTATTTCAAACTCGAGCCCTGTTGGCTGTGTAGAATAGGGCGAGAATTTTTCTCTATATCCACGAAGGACGTCAGTATATACATATATATATTTCTATGCGTTATAATGAAACGGGATATTGCGTGACGGTGATAAAACGCGCATACTTGAGACGTTAATTAGTCGCCTTTATCTTTAGCATATAATAGAATATTTCGAAAAAAGACTTGTACATTGAAATGTTGATTAATATAAAATTAAAAAAAGAGAATGTCCATTGAATAAGATGCTGAAAATTCCATAACATTTTCCAACGATATGTGTTTATATATTTTTAATAACTTAGGGGTTGGCGTGTGATAAATGCAAGATTTTTTTCCATATTAATTGCAATAATTATTTTTTACTTGTTATAAAATATACTTTCCATTATATTCGTGTATATAAGAAATTACTTATTTTACAAGATGAGAAGTGTTATTATAAGAGAAGTACATAAAAAAAAATCGAAGTTACATATAGCATAAGGAAGAGAGGAAAAAATTTGCTGAGCTTCAAGAAACGAGGAAAGTTAATGATTACGTCAGAAATTTCTATAATTATGTAAATTTACCAAAGTCCAAGTTACATATGGAATAGGTATGAGATCCGCTCTTGGCGGATCATAGAAATCATAAGAATTCTGCCGAGTGTGCATTTGCGTTTCCCTAATGGTAATACGATAAAACCTCGAAATATCGAACGTCAATATCGTTTCAGCAACTTTTGTAACAGGCATATAAGAGAAAAAATGACATCTCTTCTGTCATATACACATCAGAAACGGACTTTTAAAGTACAAAGTTTACATTCGCGAAACGGACATATAAACTTCTCCTGAGAATTTCTCGACATCATGTAGGAAGTACAATATCAGAAAAATTTATATTACACACGCTGGTAAAGTTGAGATAAAGTTGAATTTGTGGTACGTTCCTTATAAAAGAAATATACTTTAGCATACTTTGACTCTTATTAAAAAAATTATATTATCTCTTAGGATTATTAAAATTTGGGAAAAATATAGAGGAAGAGAGAGGAAAAGAGAGAGAAAGAGGCAGAGGCAGAGAAATGCAAGAAGTATAAGGATATAAATGCACCAGTTGTTTTCCTCACAACCCCGAGTAATTATGTTGATTCCTCCTGGGGAATTGAATTATTTAATTTTCTTAAAAGAATTAACAACTTTCATGCACGCAAGAACTGTAAAGAAAGAACTCTCTCTGTAGAGAGAAATACAAAATAAAATATCCAACAATCGTATTGAATCGATATTTGCCGCAGAGTTTCGTAATTAAAAGATCGAGGAACAGGTAGAAATTAGCGGGATTGGAAGAAGTTAAAAGCTGAGGAAGTGACTGAATTTTCTTTATAACAAGACCTTGACATCGATCCCAACATCGACCCGAGAGAATTCGCTAAAGTTCCCTGAATGTAGATTTTAACGGTCATAAGACACGCCAACTAAAGCATACTTAGCGTCGATGAATTTTGTGATTAGGGGTTATCAAGCAGCGACGATAATAGTGGCTCGGCTCGGTTTACAATTTGGCAATTCACCAAAGCGTCCAAATTGATTTAATTCTCGGTGATCAATTTTATCTTTTATCACCGATCGGCAATATTTCGCCCTTATAGCAATTTAACCGTACTTATTCGCTACCATATAGTCATCGGCTGTAACTCTGAGTGAGAGAATTTATGAGCTATTAATTAAGGTCAATTTTAGCGGAAGCGAATACGTAAAGAAAGTAATGACATTTTCGAAGCAGAAAAAGGCATCAAAGAACCTTTTACGGTAATTTTGCTCGGAGATATATAATATATAGTTTTCTTTTTTCTTTTGAGTTTAACATTACACACAAATGAAACGAGAGAGAGAAACGTTCTTAATTTAACAGTTTCTTGCTTCATTGTTATCAACATGTATACGTATATTTTGTTATACTGACTTACATTCACTCTGTTGTGTTAGTAATACTTAATTAGAATAAATTACACGGTCTGTTAGACAGCGGCTTTCGTGCAGCAGACCGACCTCTTTTTGTGACCAGAGAGACTTGTAACGAGTGCGCCGCGCTCTTTAATTCTAAGGGCAGGTTGTTCCACAACTACTTGGTAAGTTAACTGATAATTAAATCATATGTCTGTCTTTGTTTATATGGAAGGAAAGACAAAGATAAACATATGATTTAACTATCATATTAACTATCATATTAACTTGGTAAGTTGACTATACAGTCAACTTACCAAGAAGTTGGAACAACCGACCCTAATAATAACCAGTAGGTAATATCAAATATCGTACAGTACATCTCCATCTCCTTACCATTCTCCTGTTACAAATCCTTGGAAATACTTGAGGTCTTATGGTCGAGGCGATCTTCGAAGAGTCAATAACAATAAAGCCTCCTTAAGTTCTCATGGAGGGTTTCCTGTAGGGATCGATGATCCTGACGAGATTGAGATGAATGATGGATCGGAACTATACTAAATGAAGCATGGTCTGACATTTGTGGCGGCGAAACTGCTGGCGGAGTTTTAGACTCTTGGTAAAAATGAATTCTGCAAAAACTTGCAGTTTGTTCATCTTGAATTGGCGAGTATTTCCCCCTAAGCCAACAATTTTTAATTTGACATCAACATGGCGTTTAACCCTCTTACTTTGGTAGTTTATCTCATAATGTAGATCTCCTCTCTGTCTAGGCGGAACTGCGCACTTCCCCTTCGTCCAAACTGAACTGTCCTAATTTAATTTTTATTATTCATAGTTATATATAGATTGGATTAAGTTAGTTTAGTGTGACGAGGGAATATGGAAAAGGGGCGGACTGCTTTCCCTCGTATATACTGTGTTGTTCTACACAAATAGGAATATGTTTTTCATAAACCACCTATACTATTTATCTTTTAATGTATCGGAAGACTACATCGAATTTATGAAATTTTTTCCTATATAATTTTTTAATAAACAATGAGCGACGCTGAAACCTTTTGAAAGTTACTCAATAAGATGACCTCAACAACATCAGTCAAGGTCTAGGTCGTTGGATTTAGTTCCGTTTTTATCAGTAATTAGTCAATAGTTTTTAGCTTTAATTATTTATTGCGTCCAAAAAAAATATTGAAATTTAAATTTCGCTCTTGTTAGTTAATTCGCTAGTTACTTTAATAAGCAGCTCCTGCAAATTGGATCAAACATCGCTAAATCCCTCAATGGTTCATTTACCCTATTATATCGCTCATGACGATCTTCTTCCAAAGCTTGTCCTTCGCGACCTGTTGATCCGGAAATAATGAAATGAATAATGAGAGCAGAATTTCGCGATGAACGGGATCTCAGAAATCGTTTTGACTAATGGTCGATATTCTACATCCGCACCGAGTAGAACGATAAAAATGTAAGAATTTTCATAAAATTGCACAAGACGAGTAACAACAAACAAAAAGATATGTAGAACAGGAAAAAAGGGATGTTAGCAAAGCCTTTTTTGTGACAAACTAGGATTTCGACAAATGCAACGATGTGTTAGAAGGATGTCAACACCAAATATAACAATATAAAACGAAGCTAATCATTATGTACAAATTCGTGGCTGACTGGTCGAATTTAACAATGACGCCGTTTTTATGAGCATTCCCAAGTGGATTCGTTCTTTATTATGCCGACGCGGGTGACAACCCCCTAGATTTCTCGCGTTTAAATTATTCGAGCATTTTTTGAGGAGGAAGGGAAGTAATGACTACTGATCCTCTCTGAATATGCCGATGAGGTCTTTATGGAGGTAGTTATGAAAAACACAATTGATCGATAGCATACCGGGGTCTTCAATAATGCGACGGTCGGCAATGGCATGACAGGTATTTAGAACTTCGAGATTAACGAGCAACAAAGTTGGCTGGCTCAGCACTTCAACGCCCGACGTCTCGATCCTCACGTAAGAGGGAAGAAGGAGAGGGAGAAGTAATGAGCGCGCAATTACATCTTTCGGAGCAGATGCGACACGTCGGTCGATTTAATCGGATTAACGGTGTAGGTAGAGCTGCTGGGGTTCTCACATTTGCGCCTCGCTTTGTTGCCGCCGCAAGGTTGCGATTGAGTTATAGGATTTCGCGAGCTGGCAAGTATTGAGCGAATTAGAAACTCGACACATCGCCGTGTGCCCGCGCGACGCAAGCAAACAAGCCGTCCGTATTGTTCAAGGACTCGCTATGTGCCGGAAACTTGTGTCACCGGCGTCCTTCAAACACCTACAATGACATTCGCTTGGTCGCAGAAGCCGTTATCTTTACATGCCGCAAGTCCGAGTTAATTAACTGCTCTTAAATAAACATGCTTGTGCTTTTATTTTGCGCTCGGCGCTCCTCCAGTGCTCCTCCAGTCCGGTGTACACCATGTCGACGAATCTTGTTAAGGGGATGTAATTGTGATAGTAAACGGAAGCAATATAGCTACCTGTGTCTCGGGATTCTACCGAATTAATTTTTCCCTGTTTGCATTCGCCGTAAGACAGTTGGAGGAGGTGTGCGTTTTAATTAAACTCAAACGGAAACAATGCGAGAAATGGTAAGCTCGGGAAATTCTCGAGAAAGTTCCGCGACTTTTAATCCAGACAGTTTAAATACGTTCCCTCTCGGAAGAGTAGAATTTAATCCGACGTTGAGATAATGTTACTGGCGCGTCTTTCCCGGAAGACTCTTTTATAAAAGCCATCTGCCGTCTGTGCAAAGTAACACCCTAGCGTATACTCATCGCAGCGCAATTACTACCGATCTGGCGATAAAATAATGCGAGTATGCACGCAGGCATTGTTCGGTCGTGTAATAACATAAAAGCGACCCGCTTTATTTTACGCGCATAAATTTATGCGAAGATGCTTTTATTTTAATCGGATACATGCTCGCGGCTCTTTAGTGTTACACGAATTTCATAACGGAGGGAACTGACGATCGCGAGATTTTAGCAACGTTTAGAAGCGATTTGTCGAGATGTTAGTAATACGTTTTGCAAATGAAAATGAAAATGCATCAAACATCGAGTCTGTGGATCTTTATTTTGTTTTTGGTGTACTTAATTTGATTGAAAAACCATCGTAATTGAGTTAGTCCAGTAAGTTCCGTCGAACTTGCAAACCGCACAAACGCAACCTCAAGCACCGACCTCGACGTGTTTTCGCGGTACGTGTATCTCAGGATTAGCTGGACACGTATCGTATTTTGGGATTAATTCGCACACAAGGATTGCTTCTGGATTTTCCGCAAGCTGCATCCGAATCGTATTTCGGGAGAACTCCTGATGCGCAGATCTGACGTGTAATTGCGAATGTTTGAAACGTTAATTTTATTGGAAAGCCAGAGGTAGATAATATTCACAGCTTTTATTGATTATTTAACAATGTTTGATGGGGTTCGCACAACCTTTCCCATTGCTTTCATATCGGCGAAAACTAATATTATTAAACTTCCAGACAAAAGAAAACTCTATAATCATGTTTCATTCTGGAGCTTTAGCCTCGCATCGCCGTTGTCGATTTAGAACTTTCTCTGCGGCGCATTCGAGCGGGAATCGATAAATATGCCTAATGAATTATATACAAAAGTATTTGATTCGTATCATTGCGCTCATATCTCGTCCCTTAAAATAAATGACATTGTGAACAGGTGCTTTTTGCGAATAAACCAGACGGACAACCACACACGACTGCTGTAGAAAGTGACATTTAATTTACCAGAATATATCTTATTACACATTCACAGTGTACTGATTATTAAATTGCGATACATCCGCGTTTAAACGGAAGCCGACTCGCACTCACGACACGTGCACTCACACACGGATTCGCCGCCGCCGCCGCCGCCGCCGCCGCCGCCGCCATGGCAAACGGCGGCCTTTTTCCGCACGAGGATTTCAATCAACCTGTGTTTGCCACTCGCGGTTGAGTAGAGAGTTAAAAAACACGAAAGCCCGCTTTCCGCGGCCGGATCGCGAATCCATATGCGAGCACGAGCTAGTGAGCGAGCTTATAAACGTACGTCGATAATCGATACATCTCAGCGACAGTTCATTTCACCCGGAATGCCCCTGGAAATGAAAATCCTCGATTACAATAAAGCCCTCGACGAATTGCTCGCAGCCCGCGCAATTCTGATTTTATGTTTCCACTCTCTTTCTCTCTCTCTCTCTCTCTCTCTCTCTCTCTATCCCTTCGTCCCGCTCTATCTTCCTCGTACATACACACACACACACATACACATACTCTCTCTCTGTCTCTCTCTCTATCTCTTTCTCTTTTTGTATCTCCCTCTTTTTTTCGCACTCTCTCGTTCCATCCTCTCGCCCGGCGGCATTTGAATTCTTCACACACCTCTCATCTTATACGACGCGACGTTCTCTTCGAAAAGTAATTTCTCTTACCGGCATTCCCTCAAGATATTCCTCGCCGTCGAATCTTGCGAGCGCATGAACGCAGGTAATCCCTTATACGAATACATTATGAAAGCTCTTTTCTCCGACACGTAGCTCGTCTCCGTGGTCTCCGCGGAGACATCTGCATACGCACGCACACGCGCACACACATGCTCTTTTTACACAAAATTACAGGTGCGGTGGCTTTCCTTGAGAGAGAGAGAGAGAGAGAGAGAGAGAGAGAGAGAGAGAGAGTGCGATGTGCAATGTTTCTTTCGAGACCTTTCGAGTACTTGAGTCGCACTCGGTCTCTGTTTATCTTAGCGGAAGCTTCGCTCGATCCGCTCGTGAGGTAGTGCGCTTTGATCGTTATATGCATAGGTAGTGCTTACAAGAGAGATAAACGCAGTCGATTGGGAGTTCAGGGAGTTCAGATAGGATCAGGCAGGATACATCTCGTTCGTTTCGCCAACGAGATAAGCCGACGAGTATATCCGATAAGTATCATCCCTCTTTACGGCGCGTCGACGATTTTTCAAAGAGACTCCACGTTTCTCCGCTCTTTGCGTTTGATTAACGAATTTACCTCTCCTGTAGGTGTCTATGCGATCTCTTCGCCGCGTCGAACTCTAGAGGACTCGTTCGTTACAAATTCATGAAGATATACATCTCTCTCTCTCTCTCTCTCTCTCTCTCTCTCTCTCTCTGTCTCTCTCTCTCTCTCTCTCTCTCTCTCTCTGTCTCTCTCTCTCTGTCTCTCTCTCTCTGTCTCTCTCTCTCTGTCTCTCTCTCTCTCTCTCTCTCTCTCTCTCTCTCTCTCTCTCTCTCTCTCTCCCTCTCTCTCTCTTTCTCTACGATCTCGTCGTTTGGCGATTTCTCAGAAATCCTTATTTGCCATGTATTCCCGTAACGACAGCGCACACGATCGCACAATGTTTGTGTATTATCGACTCGATAAGAGACTCGATAATAATTTGAATTATCATTCGTATTATCTTGCGCGATAACGTAGCAGTGCGCTTCGACAGTCCGATTAAATCCGTGAGAAAGATCTTCGTTGGAGTAATTACACGTACGTGCGACGTCACGTTGTGAACACTCTCGTCGAATCTCTGTAGTTCGTTGGAGAAACGAAGCGCCGGCCCAAGTCGGGACACGATTCCGTGAGTTTGAAAATTCGCGTCAGCGACGATCGCAAAAAGATGCGAAGCGTCTCCGTCTCTGACTAAACACTTCGGACCCTTTTCAACGGCAGCGACTTCTTTAGTTTCCCCCACTGGCACTTCGCGGCACCACTCGATCGGCGTCACTCAAACACGGCTCTCCACGAGAGCTCCCGGTTTCTTCTCCCGGCGACAGATGTGTCCTTTGGGGAGGAGACTACGATCTTCTTCGGTAATGGGCCTTCGCTGTGGAGCAATTCATATTCGCGTGTGTGTGCGTTAATCCGGACCCCGTCAGCCTCGTCGCGCATACACAATCAGCATGTCAGCTTCTTGTCGAGTCCGAGGACGCGTGAGGTCCTCGCGACGCCGTAACGATCCTTCCATCCAATGGCAGGATGAGCCGAGGATCAGATACACGTCTCATTCGCCGTCGCTGGCGCGCCGTCCGCTTTCTCGGTCGATCGACATTTGGTCCTGCCGTTGCTCGAATGCACGACAAAGGAGCATTTTCGCGGATCTTGCGGCTCTGTAATATCGGGAGCGAGGATATCGCAAGGCTTCTCCTTCGAGCCTTGACTCTCGTCGTCCTCATCGTCGTGACGTAATCTCGCCGGCGAGCGGAGGGCCTCGTTTGTGTGCGGCACGTTGCATCTGATTGGAAAATCACGGTCTCGTCTCAATTCCAGAAAATTAATTGATAAGCACGAAGTTATTAAACGCTGTAAATTAAAAGTTCAGCTGCGAAAGAAAACCGTCTGAAATCGATATCTCTTTCAGTGACAAGGATTTCACCCAATTTTCCAATCTCCCATTTTCGTCGCTCGTATTAATGTGTAGTTTTCGAAAAAACGCAGATTCAGAACGGTGTCTGGAAATAAGTCCTCAGTCGAGCTTCAAACATAATAGCCGACAGAGATTTCATTAACAAGTTATCATGCGAATCCATCTCTTTCGTCGGGAACCAATAAATAAAATAAACATGAGCGACTGTTCAGAGAATCTGAAAATTAGTCCATCTATGAAGAGTCCCTCGAATGCACTTTGAGCGGAAAAATCCAACGCACTAAAAAGAGATCACTGAACATTCAGGCTCCCTGAAATCTGCCTCGATAGAGAAACGCAATGCTGGCAATACTGACGCTCATTAACAATAACAGACTACAACTTGCCTTGCACCTAAGCTCACCTAATGCTACGTTGATAATGTACACTTCTTACACGAACCACCTGGGACCCTCTTCTGGAACCGCAGCCGCACGCTGTGCTGTCCTTCATGCTGCTGAGGTCGTCCCTCGTGATGGAGGGACTCGCCGGAGTGCAGTAGAGCGTTTTCTTAAATGCCATTCTGTACTTGGCGCTCATCACGTTGTAGAGGATCGGGTTTACGGTGGTGCTGAAGTAATACAGGCAACCGCCCAAAGGATACAGCCATTCATTAATGTCGCCGAAGGCCGACACCTGATACACGTACAACAGCCGCTGAGCGTGAAAGGGCGCCCAGCAGATGAAGAATGTTATCACGACCGCACCTGTGGAACGAAGGCATCGAAGGTATCCTTCACACAGCCGTTTCATTGTCTCGCTTCGGGAATAAGGGAATAATAGAGGGTAAGGAGCGTCGACTGGGGGACCAGTAGAAAATGATAAAAAAGGGCTCGAGCCCTTTTCACATGTGTGTGTGTGTGTGTGTGTATGTGTATGTGCATATGTGGGCGGTTTCTATCGGAAACAAATTGATTCTTCGACCGTTGCTTACGAAACAGCTCGAATTACGTTCTTAACAAAGTGAGACTCGTTTGTGATCAATGCGAAGACGCGAGGACACCTTTCGCAGCGGATATATTCACCAACAGAGCCCCAGAATTATTACCAGACGACTTCGAAAATTTCGAAGAATTTCAAGCTGAATTTGCGCATCGTTAACCGCTCGTGTAAGATTGTCATGTGTAATACAAGTTTGCATCGACTGCAACCCTTCCTTGACATACGGCAACCCATTGCGAATGCAAATGCTATGGAAATTATTTCATTGCTCCCTTGCGTATCGATTATGATAATGTATCGGTGTGATAAAAAATACAAACTCCCCACGCTGGCACTTAAAAAGTAACGAAAAAAGGATCACAATCTCGGAAACGAAGTTGAATTTATATCGCCAGCGAGTATGCTTTCCAAATTGCTCGCGAGAAAGAAAAGGAAGGAAGTTACGCAACGACAGGATTCAAGACTGTATAATTAACGAGAGAGCTCGCTCGCGAAGAGAGATAAACGCGCGGGAGAGGAAAGATCGGCGAACGAAACGGCGAGGTACCCGCGCGGAGATTTGCATGCCATAATTTATATCGCTGCGCTTGAATGCGACGACGCGATATTATGCAGCCGTGAATCGACGAATTCATGTCGATACACAGAACCGTACAGGTTTTCAGCAGGGTCGCGTTATCTTCGCGAAAAGGAAATGCGAATGCGAGAGCGAGCCGGCTCGATGATCAATCGAAGCGGCGTGTTGCGAACGACGCTCCTATCTTCGCGGCGAATATTCAGCGCGGCGTTCTGCAAGCGCGATTGCGGAGAGACGGCATCGATTGTCGCGGTAATCGATGGCACTTATGCAAAACGGGAGTATTTTTTCCTACGGACAACAGAACCAGGAAGAGAATGAAAGAAACGGCTGAATTCGCCGGTTAGCTCTGATTGACGTTTAAAAAATTGGCAAATCTGAACATTGAATCAAGGGACAATCTGATTCGATAACGAAACGGCAACTGTGCGATGTCGCGAATTCTACCGCCGCGGCCGGCGAAAGCGCCCAGTCGAAAAGGAAGTTTCGATGAACGTTCAGAAGAACAAGCGTCAGAACGCACAAGTCCGCTCAATTGCTCGGAGAAATATATTGCGAGTCTAATACGAGAACTTGCTGGAAGTTGATAATATAATGCATAAGCGAGCGATGAAAGAACAGCGTGGGAATTTGCGCTCATTTGGTTCAACAGCATTTCTTGAGCGCTGCCTCTCGAATCACCGAAAATTTCACTTCCTTTTCGACCGAGCGACCCATAAAACTTGCTGAAAACTCTATCTATATATTTTACACGTGCTATTCATCGTTCGCGCATATGGCGTGTATATCGTTTGCGCGAAAATCTCGTATTCATTTTTTAACATACGGATTTGTTCTCCCGACGAGTCGGATTTTTCCGTCGGCGTGTTCAGCGAGAAATTGGAAACATTCGGTGGCTTAAGCGAGATCCCTTTTTACGTACGGTCAGCGGGACTTTCATCCCTTGTGCGGACGCGGTTTTTAAAGAATAACATTCTTCCCCGTACACGCACGCACATCGGCCTTGCCACGAGAAATATTCTTTCGCGCGCGCGCGCGCCGTGGAATAACATCGGCTTTCTGAAATAAATTAAATGAGAAGGCAGAACTGACGTTTCTAAGACCTTCAAATTGCGTCGACAATTTGGTCATTGGCAATCAGACGCGAGTCCGTTCGCATGGAAAAAGAAAATAGGGAAATTCGTCAAAAAATGGAAAATGTTCCGTCAGATGAGACTATAAGAGACTGACATTAGTTCGAAAGTCACCTAAAATTATGTCATCGCATTATTTGATAAAGCTTCAATATCATAGCGCGCGTGCTCGGGAAAATGTAAATCATGCGGTTACGTCGTGAAGAATTTTGACATACCCGTAATAACCGTTGTCGCTTCGCGGAAATGTGTGCTGCTTTTGCGATTATAGTCGCTGTGCTGAGTTTGTTAAATTCTTGAGATATTATACGCTGATGTAAAACCGTTGTCAAAACGTAGCAGGAAGACTACAAGGAAATACATCTCTTGAGCAAAAACGCGATCTTTTGGCCGACATTTATTTCTGCGAGACATTTCTAAATTTTCTCGTCACTTGAAATCCGAATATCTAACTTGTCTTTCCCACACGGTCGATTATAAACGTCGATTTGAAGGAGACATCAATTGCAAAAACCGTGCAGTTTTCGAGCGCTATTATCTGGAGCGATATTATAAAATAAAAATCACTCACGACTATTTCGCTGTGACTGTTTCGTTGTGACGTGTCTTCGAATCGACCATTTAATTTCATTCCGTGAGCAACAACAACAGCAAAACAAATCGACGTTGATACAAAACTCCATCGTGTGCTATTTATAACGCAGAATGATATAAAATAAAATGTTGCCGGCTTGGGGGTGGTGCAGAAACGAAGTGCGACCGAAATAAAAATGCGGTGGAGCGGTGTGATAAATTTGATGGGACGCGTTACGGGTTACGTGGACGGATCGGTGCGCCCGCTTCGATCTGTGTCCGTATGTGTAGGTGTTTCTGTATGCCTAGTCCGAAAAGACGGAAATTTACTGAGCATTCGGATGATGGCTTTTCGAGATTGAGCCTGCCTCGTTTCTCCGTGAACGGAACCCTCGATGCTGCGACCGAGACCATTGCTTTGTATTCGGAGGCCCATTCTCACGTAAAGCACCGCTATGGACAGCATCGGCACGAGGAAGAATATGAGGCAACTGAGCTCGTAAAGCGGGAACTTGGGCATGTTGGGCAGTAGCATGGCGCACATCGCCGACTCCTCCGAATAGCGGCCGGATCCTGAGAACAAATGCGACGAACACTTCTTATCTTCCAACATACTACGCGAGACACACGTTCTCGTCCTCGTCCTCTTCCTCTTACAACATGAGCCTTGCAGCGGTTCGAACTAACGGTTCGAAGGAAATTGGCGGGATTTCCTCGCGCGAAATGAGGTGCCGACCTTTGAAGGCACGTCGAGCGCTAATATTCGATCATAGTGAAAATATTTCACGTTAACCGTAGCACGTGAAATAGTTTCTCGACGGGTAAACGGGTGAACGAAGTTATTACAACGATACGTTTACGTGAAAATATTTGTGGTCTCTGGGAAGGTGAATATTGTAATCGCGAATGGTGATGTCTCTTTTTTCTCTCTTCCTCCTTTTCTCCTTTCCTAGAGCACACGTTTCAATTTCACGAGTGTCAAGGACGATAAGTCATGTTCTTGATGTATTCTTTTGAATCCCCGGTGAATATTTGATAGAACGTTCTGAAATGCTTTATTAATTAAATATACCGAAATATAAATTCCACCGCAAATGAAATTTCAGCTGTCAGATTAAAAGCTTTAGATTCTATTAGCGCGAGGGTCCTATAACATTTTCTAACCGATTAATCCGCATTTGAATAGCCACTTATCTCCGTGCACGCCTTGTGTGTGTGTGTGTGTATGCATGTGTATGTGCGAGATATATTTATATATTTTACTTGGGATTTCGCCGGATATGCAATTTTAACGCGATAATTCACGCGTTTTACGATCACACGTACAGTACGCGAGAATTGAAAGAGTTGTTATTGTCGGGATGAAATTCGTAAAATATATAAATATTCCGTGTAAATATCACTGAAGGAGTTATCGGCAAAAATTTTAAATGTAAATTTTAACTAAACGCGCATACGACTGCACACAGTAGAGTTAGAAATTTACCCCGATATAAAAGGGAGAAAGACAGAGTTTTAATTATCTCGCTGTATTACCTAAAACTTTAACTACCGCTCACTTAACTTTGTATTTCAAGTCCGACTGTCTGCTGGTTACGTTGAACACAATACGCGAAATTAACGTATAAACGTACCGAGACGCGCGGATAACGGCGCGCATCAGGTGCAGCATTAGGATTATGAATCGTATTTGTAATTTAAGACGACTTCACGCTTGGCGTATTAGTAAAGTTCACGATGAGAATTAAATACTATACAGGTGTGTAATGCGCATTGCTTACTTGGCGAATGCTCTGGCTGCGGTAATACACCTCTCGCGCAATTTGCGCGAAAATGTAATGGTAAATGCTGCCGGAGCGCTATATATATATATATATATGTATATACATAAATGATAAGAGGAAGTTGCATTTAGGACGGCTCTCTCTGTGCATCGTCATGAATCATCGCTTTTGTCCCATCGCTGTTATCTTTCGTAGCAACTGCGTCCGCTATCAAGCGGCGGCCGATCGCACATTAACGCAACGTGATGCATATTTATTGGCGTCATTCGGACGAATTACACAAGGTGAACCGCGTTGGTGCAAAAACCGCACGTTCGCAAAATTCACCGCCGCTTCCCGGCGGATTTATGTATTCCCCGTCGCATGACCCCCCGTCGCGGTAAATTTTCTTTTTTTCGCCGCGCTTGCCGACGATGCGCACGATTTTCACGGATTACCGTTGTCGCGTCCGAAGGGCTCGCGCGATAACAAGCGTTATTGTCGCCTTGATTCCCAATTCCGCCGTGGTATCCTATACGTGCGATGTAATTGCAGCTGCACGCGCGCATTAGTATTATCGTCATGCGCCGCGCTGGTTTGTCATTGAATTTCCGAACAGCGTCCGCGTCCACTATTATGAAGTTGTTGCACATGACACGTCTGGAAGCTCGTAATCTCTCACGAGGTACGTCCCTATCAACTTCTTTCCTCAGTCAGTCAATTTTCTATTCTTTCTTCTCTTGGAGATCCTTCTCAAGACTTGCGTCCAGGATGCCGAGGTCTCGGTCCGAATTGTTGGTCGGATGTGTGAAAGTAACATTTGATGCAAAAATACCAAGATTTTCAGCAATTTTCAATAACTTTTATATCCGACCAACCACTCGAACCACAGCCAGAAATCAAGCTTTTAGCGATACGTAATAGAATATGTGTGTGTATGTGTGTGTGTGTGTGTATGTGTGAGAGAGAGAGAGAGAGAGAGAACAAAGTGGAGAAAAAAATTCAACGTACTTTAATAGGGTTTCGTTAGTTCGCCTCCGGTTAATTGCCTCCGGTAAGAAGCAGGATAAGCAGCTCTAGACGTAGCTTAAATTCAATTGAAGCATCTCTCTCGTCGATTGGAATAAAATTTGTTTAAACGCGAGCGAATATGGATAAGAAAAATTCGTAGAGCGAGTCGCGACGATTCGAGACCTCTGATTTGGAAGTAGGAATTCATGTGAATTTCTATCAATTCTTTCTAATTCAGTTTTACACACGTTACCGCCACGCATGGAAATTGTAAAATGCATGCGATGTCGCGAGGTAAACCGTAAACACCGATCGCGTCGATACGCGATTGAAAATCTACGGCTAAACGGTCCACTCGGCATATTCGCGCAGTCATAGAAGTACTCCGCGCCACACTTCCCGGCGCGGCTCGATGTGGAAGAAGCAAATTTCTCGATATATAAAGTTCGATATTTATTCGAATGTTCGTCCGAATGTTCATTCACGGCAGGAACGATCTCGGCGAAACAATCGTTCCGTCCGCGATATCGAGCAGGTACGCGCCTGCATGAATTATTTGCTGAAGATACATTCTCCCCTTTTTCCTTCCAGTTTTGTTGCGTCGTTTTCTCACGCAGTTTACGAGAATCACCATCCTCTCGGAAGGATTCCCTGCCATAATTAACGTTTAAGTTCTTTTTCTTCATTAGAAGGTGTCTTGAGGGACGTTTTATCCTTTATCTTTATCTCAGTCGACATCGATCTCGATTACTTTGTCTGTCACCCCTGTCGGAGCATCGCGATAACTTCAATCATTGCGACAATGCGGTATCCCGCGATATTGTCTTGCATACCGATCATTAGATAAAAAACACTGTGACGACACTGTGTCATTAATAGTTTACTTAGATATGAATTTCTCGATTTCGAAATCAAGCGTGGAGATTACCAAGGCTTTAAAATATAAAGTTTTACTGCTTTCCACGCGATAAATTTTATTTAATTTAACTCAATACTCCACTCTCTCTGGCTAATTGTTCTACACAGGTAATAACCGAATTTAACAAACGCAATGAAATACTTTATCACAACTACTAGTTACAACTACTTTTCCTTCTTTTATTAAACGCGCCTGTTTAAAAAGGCGATAGTAACGAGATCGGCGAAGCTGCGAAAAACTCAGCCTTAATTAGACGAGCGGCTTTAAGAGACGATTATACAGGGAGAGTTTACTCGCCAATAACCGGCGTGAATGTACTCACGGTGAGCAAATAGGCCGGCCATATAATTATATGTGGACGGCAAGGTCGTTGCATTCATGGAATTGATCGGTGCTCTTCCTCAAATAATATCTGAGAGTCAACAAATCGTCACTGGCTGAACCTTTTGACAGAGTAACGAGAACGGCAGGTTGATCCTCTGCCGGAAGCCATTTTCGTGTGTGTATACTTTTGCTTTCTTTCTTACATGTCTGGCGTTTCTCAGAATCACGCAAACGATCACTATCCAGAAGTATCGAAAAGGCTGATATTATTGAACAATTGAACAGTGCACTTAAGAAATGATACGTAATTTCGGAAATAAAAGTAAAAAGACTATTTCGTAATACGCACGCGACAAATATTGTGTGTGTGTGTGTGCGTGTGCGTGTGTGTGTATCGAATTTGTTTCTTTTTGTACTTTATATAAGACACGGATTTCTGAGCTCCTCTTGGAGTCGCAAACTCGATTATTATTGAGCCGCCGACACATCGTTAGGAATCTTCCAGGGACGCGTGTATCATGACATTATCTCTTAAATCAGTCCCCGCGGAAAATCCCATTCATGGCACTTATATCGCTTATCACGAACACTCTTCAACCGAGGGCGTATATTGGCTATTAACACAGACACACTCACTTGGCGGATACTCGACGTAATTGACGGTGGTGTAAACGACGAAGGGCAGAGCGAAGAGGAGTGCCAGCAGCCAAGCGCCCAGGATGAATCGTACAGGTCGTTTCAGGCCGCTCATCGCGTACAAATGTAGAGGATGGCATATCGCTAAGTACCTCTCCAACGAGAACACCACTATCGTTAACACCGACACGTAAGAGGACCTTGAAAAAATGCACCGACCAATTTTACAGCCGTGTCGTCATAAATTCATGCACATAGACTGCGCCTTCCAATGAGAGATTTGAATGCAAGATGCAAAGAACGGCTATATTCCCCTCACGTGACGTGCCACCTGCAAGGATTTTATCTTCTAGCTTGCGTACAAATTTTGTTCAACTAGAAATACTTAAATTGGACAAAATATCAAATGTCCGTGGCACAAGCCACCCTTCTCAGAATGAAGTCTTCGCAGTCTCTTGTGAAGCGCTCAGTTTATGTACTTAAGTCTAGAAGCGTGACTGACGCGAGATGTTTGTTCGTGAAGCTCGCCAGCATCTTGAGAACGAGAACGTCGTTAATCGACGTGTTTCCACGATGCGCGTTTTTGTTCTCGTTTCTCATAAATCCGTGATGCACGATTGAAAAGCGTTTCTAAATTTTACCCGTCGCATCCCGCCTTTCTTGCGCGACGATAGAAATAGATTCGCGCCGATGAAAACGTAGGAAGAAGCTCCCCGGAAAGGATTCTTCTGAAAGCGAGTTTTTTACATGCATAATTGCGGCGCATTAAGCTCTCATTATCCTCTTCCTCAATCACTCCTTAAAGTTGCGGAACGGAGATCTTACACGTAACCTAAATGCAAAATAATGAGATGCGTTTCGGGGGTAACTACTATTACAAACAGCTTTGAGAATTCTTCGTGTAGTAGTATGTTAAGTTATTCCACGGTTACTGCAGCAGGTGTACATGTATACGTGTCTACTCGTTCTTCCTTTTGTAAATCCTCCCAAGTATACTTCCAAGTTTAATTGTCTGCGATGAGATGCGACGGTATCTCGTAACTAACACCACTACCCATTTTGCACACTTGTGCCATTTCATCGTCGTCGGCAAAATTTGCGAGCAACAAATATATAAAGTACGAAGAAATACAACAAATTTGGAGATACAGATTCGATCGATAGTTTTAAGTTATGGATTATCTTACGCGTTAAAATTTACAAGAAAATTCGAGATCTACATTACATTACATTAAATCTACATTACATTAAATTGCTGGTTTCGCATCTCTGCTTTCACGCGTGTGTGTGTTCTGTTTCACTTAGTTTTGTTTAATAATATTTTCGCAGCTTGAACTCACATCTCTGAGACGTATGCTCGTATTTTGCATAAACCCACTCCGAGCTTCCACGGATACTGCTGCCAAAACACACTCAACTCATTCGGCAGTCCTGCAAGGAGAGAGAAAATATCAATTGCATGCAAATCACGGATTATTTTATTTTTATCAACTGACTCAGTTATATCGCGCGTCACCAATCATGTTCACAAAGTTGCGAACACGGATGTATAATATATATATATATATATATGAGAGAGAATGAGAGATTATCATTGAGAATGTTTATTGTTAAAATGTTTAGTGTAACATTCATGTTTACTCATATATTTACATCTCGAGTTCACAATTTTGCAAAATGAGATTTTCGGCAAAGCTCAAACGCGGTTGAAAAAAACCAACGAAATAATTGATTGCGTAATGTTCGACGTTGCGTCTGCCTTATGCACTTTTCTCCGGAGTACATTAATTACGAGTTACAAAGTCGAGGTTACAAAGAGCGTCCGGACTATCCGCAAGCTACAAACGAAGTGCTGCGAAGCGACACGAAAGCACAGTGCACCTGAGTGACATATAAATGCTCACGATGAAACGTGAACGAAATAACAAAACGCAAACTGACGAGAAATTAGAGAGATCCGATTGTTACAATGTAGTTTGCGCAAAAAGCCCTCTTATGATCGGTGATTATTAATTGCCGAGAGTAATATCAGTCCGCGTTTAAACAGTTTACGCTTTGTTGAAGAAATATGCCGATATAATAAATCACTTTCACCGCTCGCAAAATTTATGGCCACGCCGACTTTAATTCCTCCGACGTGCGGAGGTAAAGTTCTCGAAACTCTTTGCAAGGATTTCCACTTTAGCTACATTTGTCTGTCTCGTAATAGATTTATATCGGTGTGTGGTATCTGTCAAAAATTTTCACAAACTAAAATATATGAGAAATGGATCTCGCGTTTCGTTTTAAAGACGAGCGGATCCCCATTCAGCGAGACTCGTCGTCGTCATTCGAGATAATACATCGAGGAAAGAAAAAGAAAGAGATTAAAAGGAAAGGCCGATGCCGCAGGGATAAAAAGCTTACAGCGCGCTTTTCCCTCGCTGGATAACAGCCGAACGAATGAATTTCCGATATTAATCGTGTTTACACGAGCGGTGCAACGCGATTACCCGTCACCGCAAATTATTTCACAAAATGGCTACGAGTTATTTGTGCGCTCGGAGGCATAGAAGGGCATGCAAATGCTTCTTGTATCTTCTTTTCATGCCTCTCTGCCAGTCACAAAACGGTGTTTCCGGGTTAATTTATCGTTGTGTAACTTTAGATTATGACGCTGCAAAATGTATACGAAATATCGGATTTCGGTGTCGCGGTAAACGCTTGTACACTGTGGACGTGTTTTAATAGTCAATTATCACATAAATCTTTTCAATCTTCAAACGATTTGCACGAAACGAAATTATGCGAAAATCTCATTTTTTACCATTCAGATCAACTTGTTCTGCAAATTGCAGAAAGGACGATTATTTTCCCTTTCTCATTACGTGTATAAATTTTCGCTTCTCGGACGAATTAGCAGGAAATTCAAAAGCAATAATTTGTAACGAACGATCTCTTTAATACGGCAGATTAACATGAGTCGCACATGAGTGGCGCGTGGTAATTCGTTTATTTTCATCGGAGTATAAATTTTCGCGCCGTCTGCGTGTGACTTATGTGAAATAATATCTATTTAATATGCATTGTTTAACGTTGTTAGTTCAATTTCTTGTGTGTTTCGCACATTGTTATCCTATACATATAAATTTACGGATTTCAAAGATATAAAACACGCTCTCATGAATCATTCAAAGCACATAGCGCGAAGACGCGCGAAAGCGCCGTTTTATTTAACGATTTATCCCGATGCCTAGATCGAGTGTCACTAAAACTAAAACGCATCCAGCATCGTAAAGTTGCGGAACGATATGACGATAAGAGTATTGGTTTTCAGTGGCCGCGACCGATGCTGTGTATCCCGTTAAGACTTTAGTCAAATTCTGATATATCGTGTAGGCGCGTCATGTAAATAAACGTATTAGCCAACATGTTCGCGAGATAATTTTTATCGAGATCGACAGCCTTTAGCCTTTTAGGAATATCATCTATTTTAGATACACGAATCCTGTGTCGCGTTGAAAATTCTTCAATTTTTACAATTAATAATAATAATAATAATCGTGTAAACGGCGATGATGTTAAAAACTTATCCCGAGTGAAAATATTTGAAGTGCAATATAAATTCAGAGTTCCGAAAAATTTCGAGCTTCTCCTGCTCCACTCGTACCTTTTACCCGATACTTCTCCTCGATGCTTCTGTATTTAACTTATGACGCGCACTTCGAGCCAGGAACGTTCTAATTCTATGACCTCCACATCACAAAAGAAAAAAAAAGAATATACCAGTAATATTTCGTACGTGTCGAATTCGCGTAGATTATGTATGAGAATATTGATTTAATCGGATTTTACCCAATCAGCCAAGATCTCTTCCGAGAGAGATCGGGTAACGTTATGTTGCAAGATCGCCGTAAATCGGCAATTAATCACACGGTCTGGCGGGATTGCATTACCGTTCGTACGGACCGGAGTCGTCCGTTTTATCCCTGCTTCGAATCACACATCACAAAACCCATTAACTCGCAGTTAACGTCGAGTACGTGACGAATCTGCGAATCATGCGAGATAGGACGTGTCCCCGCATAGACATTGGCTTTCAGTAGGCTCATTATTGGGAGTTCGTATCGGACATCGTTAATAACACACGTCAAAAGACTCGTACTTGGGAAGTCTCGATCTCTGCGAGTACCAATTCAAGGACCAACAACGATGCGCACGTATTAATGTAACTCTCCTTGCAGATTTAATGATGTGTACAACGTGGCCATTGTTGCCGGTTACATTCTGCATTCTTTTATACTGCTCAGTATTGCTTCCGAGAAATATGAAGGGAAGTATATCGCGTGCGCGAGTAAATAATATAATAATATGTACATAACTGCACATTCGCGTATGTACAGAGCAGATATTTTCCCGTGGTTTTTTAATTAAATTTTGAATTAATTGCTTCAATCTTAAGTATCCTTCCTCCCATCCGCCAATAGGAGACATTGCCGTAATAAGAGAAGTTTCTCGCAGTCGCGAAATCGCAACCGTGAGATCGAACTTTTTCTCGCGAGGGAGCCTTAACTTTTCCACGCGTTTTCTTGGCAATCTGAAATGTGATCGACGAAAAGGAACGGTGATACATAATGTATAACGTACTCCAGATTTTTCAAATATGTTTTTATCTAGGAATATTGTAGCATAAATAGCTCAAAGATATGCTGTATCATTGTAAATTACTGAACGTGCAGAGATTTTCATAAGTTATAAGAAGCAGCAGCAGCAGCAGCAGCAGCAACGCGAATAGACGGTGAAACCTCATTTTTCTAGGAAGAAAAAAACTGAAATATAGGTAAACCTCATTTTATATACCAAGGATACAAAGTTTTCCGTCAAACGTACCTGAAAAGCGTTATCGTTAGATTATAGATATACGACATATGTATATAAATACACATGCATGTATATGTACATATGTGTGTATGTGTGTGTGTATATTCATATATGCAAACTACCCGCATTTAGATGAAAAGCGAGACTTTTCGCGACGTCGTTTTTCATTCACCACTCATCACTCGCCTCCGTGAAACTTCCGCAGCATTTGCACATTCCAAAGCGCACAGATACGCGAATTACGTATGACCCGATTCTTAATTTCTTCGCGATAGTTGTCTAAAATTATCATTCTCTAACTGCAGTTCCCGGAATCATTAAAAAAGTTTTCCTCCTTTAAGTTAGCCCATTGAGGAAGTCGCGGTGTAATGTAGAACGTTTACTTAAAATTTCAATTCCTATCGTAATAAACTTTTCTGTATTTACGAAGAAGAAACAGTTAATAAAGGAGCAGAAGGAGAAGGAGAACGAGAGAGAACTATCAGATTTTTTTTTGTATTCAAGAATGAGGGAGAATTCAGTCAGTGCAAAGAGATATCAATTTTTTGTCCAATTAATAATTGATTATGGCTCTTATAAAATATAATATAATTGATTTTTATTTTATTTTTATTGGTTTACACTACTGAGGCGTTCGGCGAACGAAAGAAAGAGTAAAATAATTTGTTAGCAAACAATATTTTCACTCGCAGCAGAGGCGGAGAGAAAGAGAGAGGGAGATTGGTTCGAAATAATTACATCACGATAGAATGCTCACGTCGATCTCGTATACCGTTATTTGATCTCGTAACCGCGTATTTGATAAATTTATGAAGTAGTGAATGCGAGCTGCATATTAAATAAGATCGAACAATCGTGCATAACCGCGAAACACGCCGGTTGCATTAAATATAAGTCTGGAGCTCGAAACTTTGAAAAGTTGCTGTCTCTCAAGGGTGAGACACGATATCCGCTATTTGACGATGAAAAATGAAACGAAGGACAATGGATTCAAGCTCGATATTGCCGCGTGACTTTAATTGCAATACATATTTATATTACTTATTATCCGCGATCTCTCATGCTTTATCGCCGACGGATATTACCTCTCCGGTAAAATTATGAGGTAAAAATATCGACTTCTATCGCGCGACAAGGAACAAAAGAATCTGAAAACTCGCAGATATTTCACGAAGGCTGGAAACAATATTTCATTTCGACTGCATCGGAGTGCTTATCAAGCGATGATTTCTTGGTACTTTGGTCCCTTGCACGGGTTCCTTGTCAACAGATAAGGAACCGTTTATCGGTCATCTTTAAGACATAATATAGTGTCAGAATTTATAAAGTGAAAATATTTCCACTCGAAAATTGCCTACAGCAAGACATTTCAGAAATTACACTTGCAAAAGTGTAAACGATATTGATCTCACAATATTCTCGTGCATTTATACAACGTTAAATAATGGTTTTGCAATATCCCTCCGCTCATTAATCATACATGTAAATTTATGAAATACGAAATACATTTATTACTAAAAGACATTGCAGTGTGTCTAAATATATAATCTGGAAACACCGACTTGATTTATATGACAACATAAAATATATTATTATAAAATATATTATTATATATATAAAATGTATTATAAAAAGTAAAACTATCGAAGATGAAAACGATCGTTTATTCAATTATTTTCATATATAATTGATGTACGACGGTATTAATAATTGAAACAATGCAGAATGTTAAGTGTTATATCCGCATGTATTTTAGTCGCAAAATTATATTTATAAAATTAACACATGTGTGTGTATGTGTAGAACATCATTCTTTGACATCGGTATGATCTAAATACGAAAAAATTACGGAATAGAGAAAATGACGGAAATGGAAAGCGACAAAACTCCCCTCGATAATCGAAAATCATTTTAATAGGAATTTTAATAGGAAAGCAATCAGAAACGTATTCACGTATTTTCATTGTCCGAGAGATATCAGGAAAAATTATACGGGTGAAAATAAAATATCTCCCAGTTGTATTCACATATCCATTAAATCATGGCTGGCTAGACAATATCTGAACATTTCGTCGTTAACCACGCCTGGTTAATCCTGACAGATAGACCGTTTTTAACGGTATACCAGATTCGTGGGAAATCAATTTGGGAAATACGCGAGAGAAACGTAAATATTCCGCACGTAGATCGCGCACATATTTACTCACTACGAGAAGAAGAAGTCGGTGATTAATGTCGACAAACGTATCTGAGATCCGCTGAAAATGTCGTGTACGTTTCTTCGAACACACGCTAGAGAACTATTACCTGATTAATTGCAAGAAATTTCTGCCGAGAGCATGATAATAAAGAAATACGATTATCCTCGGTCTTTCAAGAGCGAACATTCAACGGTCACTTGTGTTCGTTGTATTGGGTTGGCAACTAAGTGATTGCGGATTTTAAATAAGAATGAAAATTCAAAATTTTAAATTTGCTTTTTTAAATTTTTTTCAATGCATGTATGCGATACATTGAGCTTCTCTGCAATATCACGTGTCGTGCTATGACGATCTGAATCGATAATGGCCTTAATATGGGTCTCATCGACTTCAACTGGACGGCCAGATCGTTGAGCATTTTTCAATGAAAAATCACCAGAACGAAATCTGGCAAACCAATTTTGACACTGCCTTTCTTTCAAGGCTTCATTCCCATATACGGCACATAACTTCTTGTGTGCTTGCGATGCGTTCTTGCCTTTTCGAAAATAATACAATAAAATATGTCTGAAGTGCACGTCTTGCTCTTCCATTTTTAAATTGGGATAAAAACAAAACTAAAGAACTAATCGATATAATTTTTGTACTAAATGAAAGGTAAAAGTCCAAACAATAAGAAAAAAATATAGGTTAGGTACTTTGAACACGTTAACGAAACAAAGGAAAGTGTAAAATCCATCTGTCGACAAAATCAGCAATCACTTAGTTGCCAACCCAATAGTTGGCGATATCCATCGTCCTAATAGGAGTAATAAATAATCTTTTCATTCGCTGGGAAATGCGTAGCGAATCCGATGCATGTAGGACGTTAAATTCGAGAAAAATAGCGCCGCGGATGTTCTCGCGTGCCTTGTTTACTCGATCGCTCTGCTAAGTACGCGGGAAATAAAAAGAAAAATATAAAAATTGGAAAAACCCTTGACATGTGACGCGCCACTCCTGTCAGTTGAACAATTAACTGACGATGAATAGGACGCAATGCTTTTCGTATGCCTTTATTTCATACAACCTCATTATCGTGGTGAGATTGATCGCGGTTACGATGATTATCGCTCGCGCGAGAACAGACAATACGACAGTTAGGTTACAATAACTTTGTTTCAATATATGCGACTATTCTCTTCGAACGCTCAAGGCGCGGCATTCTGGCCGCGACAACATCCACAGCTGATTAAATTAATCGTCACCGGCTAAAACGAACTCATTACGCATGTAATTATCGCCGATCAAAATGGCAGGAAATCAAAGTGGCGAGAATGTATCTAAAATCAAACGGCACATGTTATGTATAAAATAACGTTCGCGTAATAAATAAACTGATGAAAAATAAATTATTATCATCGGCGATTTGTGCGCACACAAATGGCGCGTGTTCCTCTCTACACACTTTGTTCGCCGCTATCGGAAACACGGTTTGCATATTTCAAGCAATCGCGCGAATAATAATCGTCTTCTACGATACGAGACTCACGATTGGACTAATTGGAAATGACAACGGCGCGTTATGTTTAATAAAATGTAACGGAGAATTACGAATTTTCACGCGAACGAGCGGAAGAGCTGGCTGGCTGGCTGGCTGGTTGGTGCGAAACAAAAGCGGCGGAAAACTTGATCGAAGGCTAAGACCGGCGTGTACAACGTCGTATTGGATCGAATATCAGCGAAGTCACGTTTCCGCGGATATTATTCTAGCGGCGCGTACGGTGTCAAGTAGAACAAAATGAGATAAGTCAGACCCAGCTGCGAAGCAGCAGCTCGCCGACAAATCGAACGCTCGAGAATAACACGGGATTGAAGCACGGAGAGAAAATTTCCGAGGAAGAGGAATGTGTATCCCGCGAGTGACGCGAAATTCCCGTTAAACAATCTAAGTGTACCATCGCAGGGCCGTGATACACTCTGCAGGTAAAAAGATCGAGTGGATACGTCGCACGAAATTACGCGGTAATAATTTATCGATTTACTTGACGATCAGAGTACCGAGTTGGAAAATGTTACGAAAGAAGTTGTAGAAGAGAATCTGTCTCGTGAGACAGATTCGATGAAACGGCACGGTTTGATAAACACCGCCACATCTTCTGAAACGTTCACGCGGTACGAACCTTTGAACTCCTAAAACCGCGTTGCGGGGACGTGTTGCGATTTTAATTGTACGACCACGACTTTGGTGGCGACTTGAGACGGATGGAAAAATTACTCGAACAAGTTTATTAATTCGCATGCACGGCGAAGCACGAAGCGGATAATTGAATCTTAATCGCGCACGCATCCGCAAGATTCCGTGAAACATCTTGAACTCAACGTCAGTCTAATCGCGTCCGACCAAAATCCGACCGACTTACCGAGGATCAAGAGCAGCAGGTCGGACACCGCCAGGTTGAACAGGTAGTAATTCGTAGCGGTCTGCATGACAGGGTTACGCCTGATGACGATGCAGGTGACCACGTTGCCGAACACGCCGGTGACGAAAATTGCGACGTAGACGAAGGTGATTGGCAACACGAGCGTCAGCGGCAGGTACTTCGGGCCCCATACCAATCTCAAGTACTCGGGCTCGCTGAGATTCATCAGCTCGGTGAAGTTGTCGATGGACACGAGATACCGGCCTGAGATCTCCATGCTTCGCGTGTTTCAGCCCGATCGCGCTCGTTACCTCGTCGAAAGGATCGCGTGGATCGAATCATCCGTTCACCGCGTGCGATTCCGCGGAGCTGTCCTGTCGACGAGGAAGCGGCTCGCTCCTTCTTCTCTTGACCGTCATGATGTCGCACCTCGGACAATCGGCAAATTAAATCCTCGTCACGCTACGTCACAGAAAGTCAGGCTGCCCTGTCGCCCTGTCGACTCTCGACACGTCCGATCGAATCGCGCGCGAACGTCGAATCGCTGCAAACTCCCTCATTGTTCTGCGCGAGGTGACAGTTGTCTCACTGATAACAGAGGATTCGCTCTCTTCGTCGCTTCGGAGATCGGGCTCGGTCCTAACCGAGAGACAGTCTCACGTTATAACCGGGAGGGAAACCGGGGGTGAAAAGTGTTCCACTCGAGAGACTGTGGACAAGTGACGGCCGCGGAGCGCTCCGGTCTTCGCTATCGGACCACGCGCGCCCATCCACCACGCATCCAACCCTTAACTTCAACCCCCTCGGGAGAGAGAGAGAGAGAGAGAGAGAACACGCCGCGCCGCACCGTTCGCCCAATAGGACGCCCCCCGATCATCGCATGCAAATACCTCAAATATCCGGCGTATATTGTTCTAAACGACACGGCGCGCGGACGGAACTTTGTAACGACCCTCGTCTCGTTCGGTTGACTGATTTATTTTGATCCTACTCGAGGTTGATTAGATTTATCCCAAGATAGATTCGCTCGCGAAATACGTGCCGTTGTCGCGCGCGCGGTTCCGCGCGATCATTTATTCGTCTCGTGCGCGAATCTCGGAGGCTCAAGACGTTCGGAAACTCTCAATCACGCGGTGTAATCTTTTGATTCACGTCGAAGTTAAATAGGGCAGACAGCGTGATTGTAACTTCCCGGGGAGTTTCTCGTTTTTCACATGGTATCGCATTGAATGCGATAGATTCGACTGTGTGTGTCGCGCAAATCCCTGTATAATTCGAGCAAAAACGAAGTAGAGAACCGCCGAAAACATATTGCAGAAAAGTACGAGAGTTTCGCCCGTCAGAGACTCCGCGAATTTCTTTTTGCTTGCGCGAAACTTGGCACGAAATTCGCTGAATTCTCGAGATTTCCTATAACGACCTGCGTCCCACAATTTAGCGAGTCCAAGAACATCCAAAGCGATCCGATTATGTCACCTTCAGCCATGGACTACTCAGTCCATTTACTACCATGCCATGACCAAGGTTCTCGAAAGTTTGACCTCTTCATGATGACCGATGCAGTCCGCCAAGTACGAATAAATTATTTCGTTCATTATCGCTCGGAACGCATTAGAACAATCGATAGCATCCTCTTTGACGTAAAGTTGCCGGGAACGAGAAATTACGCTGCTCCGGTCTAGCGACTTTTACGTTACACGACTCTTTCAATCAGATATGTCTAGGGCGAAAGTCTCGCACTCTGATGGAACTCATTTCTACAAAGCAGTGTGTGTGTGTGTGTGTGTATACATGCACGTGCGCGCCAACGATTGTTGTTTCACGCGGTAAATAAACTTCTATTTTCCGTTTTGTTACGTATTGCTCACAGATTGTTTATATTGCATCGTTCCCCGTTGTCGCCCTATCCATTTCGTCGTATTTTGCCATCGGCTTTTGTTGCATTCGTTTTGTCGTATGAAATAACACGCCGTATACATCGTTAGCGGGACGTCTTCTACCGCTCTCTTTTCTCGCCGACGAGCTTGCACTCGTCATTTTACTCGATATCCTTTCAGCCATGCAGTTAGCCGGCTGTCACACGCGCTTGTTGCAACCGTACATTACATCGTGACGTTTATTGCCGGGGTGACTTCGCGGGCGACTGGCGTTTTAACTTTTGTTACGAACGACTGCGCACATTGTGCGTCTATCACGCGCCATTAATGAGCGCGTTATTTGGCGGATTTACGTCGCTAAGCAAATATTGGGTTTGTATTAACGCGCGACGCCGCTAAGAAATCGTTTCCCTTGATCGGACTCTTGATACACCGTAGACGCTAGCAATCAGAGGCTCCTCTTCCCGTGATGTACGTATCATGTGAGCGCGGTAATTACTAAAGTGCGTTAATTAATTATTATAAGCTCGCTCGTTGGGTGAAATTTGCGCGCTCGCCTGTGACATTTCGCATCTCTCTTTCACCGTTCTGAATATATTTTAGTTAAATTAACAATTCCTTTTGCATTGCAGCTAAGATATTAAAGTTATGAGATCGAGGCCAAAAGTTTTTTCTGTCTGCGAAGCTAAAAAACCGCACGTATAGTTTTACGTGACAGCTTCGACAGCGATTGGCAGCGTTTCGCGATATCGTATCGCGATATCGACAGTTTCTTCCGCATAATACACGCACTCATCAGTTCCAATCCTTAGCTCAGAGATATAACTCAACAACACGGTGCGCTGCGTGCAAACAAAAGTAACTTCCAAATGCATGTTACTTGCGGGATTTGCCTAGCTTGTGAATTCCGAGATTAAATAAGTTCACAAAGCTATGGCGTATGAATCCTGGAATGAATTCCCGGTTGATACATCGCGAATTCGAGAAACGTAGTTGGTCGCGAATGAAGTAAGTTTGCGGGTATATTAATTCTTGATATTTATGATGTCCGAACGTGCCGCGAATATTTAACTTGCTAAATACAGCCCGTCTCGATGCTCCGCCTAATATATTCTCCTTTCGCTTCATATTTCGCTCGAGACAAGAAGAACACTTTGATTAGCCCGGGCAGCCCGGGCAACACTTTTAGAACGAAATATTGCGGCCATTTTCTTTATAAGAGAGATGCGACCTGAGGATTTCTTGCTTAATAGTTACTCGTTACGTTCCATTTCCGTGCAAATGAAATCGCGCCCGGTGCTGATTATACATTTTCTCCCGAATCTCCCGCTTTTATCGTAGCGGATAAAAAACAGACTTCGGAGCCAATATGCAGTTTCGATAAATTAAACTTCCCGTGCAACAGATGCGAAGGGTGTTCCCTCCTTCTCGATATTATCGCACTTTCGTCACTATTGATCAATGAAACGCTCGACTCGAGAATAGCTTGAGCTCGCAATAACTTATTACTTTATGAAATAAAATTAAAAAAAAAAATGTCGCGGAACGTGCATTAGTTGTATTTTATTTTTCGCACTTTCTCACTTTTTCCTTTTTTTTTTATTGAAAAAGTGTAAAAACAGATTTTCAGGATATTTTGCTCGTGTAGATTTGGATATATAAGAACTGGATTTTCACCGCACATGTGAGGCCGATTTATCTCTCTTTCATTTTTCGCTCGCCGTTACGCCGCACGATTTAAATGCAAAGAGCATTTTTGTACATTTATACATCGAAACTCGAGCGCACCGAAATTATATCGGCTTTGACGCGACGAAATGCGATCTCGCATCGAAATCGCGCGAGTCCCAGTGAGCTTCAATACCCGCCATAAAATGATCTCTCACGTCGATCAAAGAAACCGTCACGCGGCAAGTTGTCGTGATTCTGTTTGTCGGACAATACGTCCGCGGCTTTACCCTTTGAAAAGGACAAACGAGCATGTCTCTTGTCCGTTCAAATGGCACTACGAGCCCTCGAGGAGGAGCACCTGTGCGACACGCACGACCGGTTTTTCCATCCCGTCTTTAAATCCCTCTCGCGTCGATACGTCCGTGCGGATTTCTTCTTGAACTAGTCCGCAAACATTGTACACCATGAGGAATTCCACAAGATGCCGCTAGACCGTGAATATTACTCTCTTCACCGTTTACAGTTGGTACACGACATGCACGTTTCCTTAACAGCCGCGAATTATTTCGTCCGCATCGACGACAAATTTGGCATATGATACACTTGAGAGGTACATAGCAAGGTGTACAGGCAAAATTAGCCAAATTATTTACCTAGTAATTTCCACTTCCCACAGAGTCACTCATGTACTATTTGCTCAGAGTGCAGATCAATCATTTCGGACAACATCAATCTCCAATCGGTTTCCCCTCTGCAACTCACCTAAGAATATAATGAGAAATTAATAATCAGTTAGGCAGTTATCATTTGAAAGATACACATTATTAGCCACATAGCTTACGGAAAGATGCACTGTCAGAGTTTCAGACAGCCATTTAGCCATCTTCGTGTACTTTCAAACGAACATTTCAACAGACCAGTCTTATTGCTGGTACCGTACACCGTACATCGATCAAGAGTTTGCGCACCGACGACTTTTTACCTTAATTTTTTTCCGACTTTAATTCTTCTTACCAAAACATTGTGCGGCGCGGACTTCGGATAATTTTTCTCTCGTGGGCGTAGCGTTCCGAGCGACAGGCCCCGAGTAAAGATCGATGAAAAGAGACGGCACCAACGGCCCTCACCTTTAATCGAGTCGTCAATATCGCGGGTTTACTTCGTAAATCCTGTCACGCGTGTCTGGAATCTCGGCGCTCGGCGCTCTAATGTGTCTAAATACCGTAGGCCCGTTTGTAAATATGATTAATAGCGAAGTCACTTCAACGCGAGGGGTACTCTACTAACATTATCGATGCCGGACGAAATGTTCTCTCTTGTTCTTTTTCAAATCCATTCCGGGACATCCTTTTAGGCTGAAAGCGCGCCGAGATCAATATTGCGCGCGATATCTGCCCCGTAGAGTATTCACGGGATTATTCGCTGCAGGAAAGAGAACGAAGGAGAGATAACTAGCGACCCTCCTTCGGCACTGATTGCTCGCGACGCTATTACCGAGCTTTTTGCCAACTATAAAATGAACCACGTCCTTTCGCCGATGTCTCAAGACTCTTTCCGAGGCGGAGCGTTCAATTCTGCCGCGTGTCTGCAATGCCGTCGCTTCGTCGGGTAAATGCACTTGATAGTAATGACAAATGCCGTACATATTACTCATCGGTGGCAATCTCGCCGTCCCGGCGTAGGAGTCCACTAGCAGAAATATCGTGCCGAATAAGTAGAAATAAAATGAGAACTGCAAAAGACCAATACAACACTTTATTGTTATGCTGTAAGAGTTCGCTATCGCTTTGAACGACGGAGCAAATAAGTCGAATCGTCGATCTCGAGAATGTAGGAAGGCAAGGCTGGAAGGGAAAAGCTATCTAACGCGGGCGAAAATTATATCGTAAAAATATAATGAAACACTCTCGCCCTTCTGTTAAACCATGTGAAAAATAATATTCTGATTTGCCTCGGTCTTTCAAAATTCCTCTGTGATGTCAGTTTCTATTGCATACTACTGCGACGTGTCCCGACAGATTTGTCATTTTTTCTTACAGTTTAATATCAAGGCGAATCTCACGCTTTACGGGCGATTTAACGAGAAAGTGGAGAGGCCGGCTTCAACGTGAAAATATTGCTTTATGTGCGTAAGAGCTGCTCGAATTACAAATATTTTATCTCCTATTT